CTTATGTTGAATGTGTTGATTGTTTGACAGCATACATCATATCTGTCGACTGTGATGCATGATTTGACAGCATACATTATTTATATTGACTTTGATGCATGATTTGACAGCATACATCATATATGTTCACTGTGATGCATTGTTTGACAGCATACATCATTTATGTTGACTGTTATGCAGGATTTGATTGTAGACACAAAATATTTACAATGTGATGCAAGGTGTGTCTTCGTACATTATTCATATTGACTGTGATGCATGGTTTGAGAGCATACACCATATACGTCGACTGAGATGCATTGTTTGACAGCATACATTCCTTTTGTTGAATGTGTTGCATTGTTTGTCACCGTACATCACTTATGTCGACTGAGATGCATTGTTTGACAGCATACATCACTTATGTCGACTGTAATGTATGGTTTGACAGCATACATAATTTATAAACTCATAGTTGCTGTCGACATAGGAAGTAAAGTAAGCAAATAACACCGAATAAACGGCAAGGTAAAGACTATGTCTAATTATAGTAAATACGTACTGCGTGCGTGACTCGAACCGGCGCTCACGTACGGCACCTAATCGCCTAGCTTCACGCCACTACACGTCTTCCCCTCGGCCACCGGGCATCCCCAAAAAAGGATGCTTAATAACCGAGCTTATTACGTGCAGAGAACATGAAACCCGTCCACACGATCCGCGCCACACAGCGTGGCCAGAATGCGGCAAAGGCCTTCAGATCTGGCTGTAGTAGGATGGTGAAAGTAATGGTACAGCATTGTAACAGTGAATAAGTACTGAGAAATAATTTTAAACTCATAGTTGCTGTCGACATAGGAAGTAAAGTAAGCAAATAACACCGAATAAACGGCAAGGTAAAGACTATGTCTAATTATAGTAAACACGTACTGCATGCGTGACTCGAACCGGCGCTCGCGTACGGCACCTAATCGCCTAGCTTCACGCCACTACACGTCTTCCCCACGGCCACCGGGCATCCCCAAAAAAGGATGCTTAATAACCGAGCTTATTACGTGTAGAGAACATGAAACCCGTCCACGCGATCCGCGCCACACAATGTTACACATTAGAAGCATGGTTTGTTGAATTTTTATAATCGAATTGTTGAAATTCTCATAAATGAATCCAATTAAATGACACTGGTATTAGCAATGCTAGGAAAGTTGACCAAGCTCACTCCAAATGTGTCAGTGTGCCACTTCAAAACGTCTTGTTTTTAATAATACATTCTAACAATTATAGACAACGCCAAGCCAGACTAGACTGATTTAATAAATAAGATTAGTATACAAATGTAATTACCTACTGTAGCTAATTTACATATGTTAATGAACTAGCATGCAGTCATTTAATCGTGTTTAAATCTTTTAGACTGCAGTCTGTTACAAATAACAATACGCTGATTGGTTTGAAAGATTGTTGTTTATCTTTTTAAATCAGGAGCTCAGTCGCCACAAAGGATGTTATACACGTGTGCGCCCTATTGTCCTTTCTCAGTCATCTCAGCCTGTGACAGTCATATTTTATATTTGATGCATCACCTTAGAACTATTCTGTTTAATCTTTCCTTGACTTACTGTTGCTAGGAAGTAGTGTAATGTAATCTACGTTTGGATTTCACAAATTTAAATTTTGTCATGCATCTTCACTGTGTATAAATTGAAAAATATATTTCATGAACATTTTAAAGACTTTTTCAAATGTTGATGACAAAACTGAAGATGAAACACTAAAACTCATTCAAAATACCAACGATTTGCATTCTATATACTCAAAAATGGGGTTGATGCCCTTACTTTAACAAAATTTACCATCAATTGTATGTAGCGTATTATTAAAGCGCTACAGTCGTCACACCACGGCGTGTTTAATATGGGTTCATACCGATGTAAACAATACATGTAAAATACATTGCTTATTACTACGAAAGTTGAACGTGCACTGCATGGCGACTGTTAGCGTTTTAAGTGTTTTTTTGGTTTTTTCAATTTCTCAATACCTTATAAATATAAATTTTCATTTGACTTGAGGTAGCAACACCATTATAACTCTATTACATAATTGGGTCACTAATAATAATAATTTATAATTGTAATAGTTTAATTCATCAAAATATTTTTTCTTTTTTTTTCGCTTTTATAGTTCTTTCATTGATGTTTGTATTTTATCCTTTTTTTTATTTTTTTTTATTTTCATGTATGGATTTTCATCCATTCCAATTGATGTTAATTGTTTAAAAGATTATTATTATCATAAAGCAGGATTTTGCAGTTAACAAAAAAGTATCTACTTACAAAATGTGCAAATACAGTACTGCTAAATTTTAATTTGTTTCCCAAACATACATTATGTTCAGATGTATTTTTTTTTTAAATATGGAAAAATATAAAAATAATCAATAGTCGCAAACAATCTGCCCTGATCCCATAAATAGGAATAGGTGAGCAAATGCACTGCCTGCAAGTTTATTTGCTATTTTTAAAACATAAAAAATGCTTCAGTATAGTTTGGGTGCCTGCAATTAATAAATAAAATATAAAAACTTCACTCAAATTTGAAAAATTGAATTGAATTTGAATTGAGATGTATTTTCTTAGAAGTTTAAAGCTGCTAATTCAACTTCATGCAATTTGGCCTCACAAATAGATCAGAAGAGCTTACTTAAAAATACACAGCTCAAAATTGTGTAGGTACGTTTTGAAAAGTAAGAATACAAATACACCCTATAATTTGGTTTAATATGTAAAAAATATGAATTATTATTTTTTAGTAAATTTAATAGAATACTAATTTTCAAAGATTGTAGTCCAAAGACAAAGACTGGTAGTCTGTTTGATTAGTGCTCTGTAATTTTTTAACCCTGATGTTATTGTACCATCTTTTTTTTATTATTCAGGCTAAATTTAAATTATTTCCAGCTGTAAAACTGTTTTAAATTAACAGTCAGTGTGGCATATTCAGCGTATAAATGTCTTCTGTTCTGGTTACCAAGGGAATGGTCGTTGTTGGCCTAATATTCTACTAATTATTGCCAATACTGGAAAGCTTTTGTCAAACCATACACTCACTACACTCACTATGTTTTAGTAGACTAGGTACAACTAAATATGCACAACTAAGGCCAGACAAAAATGTTTTGCTTTTTGTCATTACATGTATCAGTTTGTAACCTGTGCCTCGCACGTATGGGAGAATGGGAAAATGTTTTTCTGTTTCAGAAAATGTTTTGTGGATTCAAATCAATCAAAAAAGCATTATTTTACAAATTTTAAATCTTCTTTTTGTGGCAATGAAGAATTTTAAAGCAAAATAAATTTAAAACTGCATCATTTTTCAATTTCACCTAGAATGAGAAACAGATTTTTGTTTTCTTTGGTCTAAAATTCATTTAACTCTTATGTAATTGGATTGTATGCTTTGTTTTTTCGTTACTGTAATATATCAAAGTTGTAGCATAAATCTCAGGTTGTCAAAAATTATACAGAAACAGAATTTTTTTTTGGTTCATTTATAAACTGTTTGATGTAGTAACAGAGCAATCATTAATGCTCTTTAGTGTAAAAAATACAAGTAAAATTGATTTTTTTCTGATAATTCAATGTTGTCATATAAACATAAATTTCCTACAAACAATAGATTTAAATTGTGGCCTTCATTTTACAGATAAATATTCTCAATTCATTTCCAGCTTACCATAGAAACAAGCTAGGTATAACAGTATTTCCCATCTTTGAGGAAATCAAGACTTTTTTAATTTAATAAAAAAAATTGGGAAATCCATCATTGTGGACACCCCCTGCCTGTGTCACTTTTGCTTGTTTTGTTTTTTTATTCTTGTGTAAAATGGCAATGAGGAAAAAAAGATTAGAAAATTGTCAAAAAAATTAGTTAAGGAATTTAAATAATATGCGATATTTAATTGCCATGATCCTGAGTCAATGAAACTTTTTTGTTTTATCAATATAACAAAAAAATTATACGCACTTGTTGTGGAATCAAGGTATTTGTGAATTACAAAATAAAAATAACAAATAAAAGATTTCTAGTTTCTCTGCAATAATAGTTTCCCACCTGTTCATATCAAGTAATATCATATTCAGTTTCAACATCATTGTCAATGTTAAACTTGAATGTCTTTTGTATTTTGTAGGGTAACTTTTTTCAGAATATAGGTTCTATCATGGTTTTTGCTATATTTGGTACTTTTATATCAACTATCGTAGTTGGCGGTGGTATATATTTGTTAGGATTGGTAAGTATCTCTGAATCATTTAAAAAAAATTGCAGATCCTATTTTACAAGGTGTGGGTATATGAACCAACTTCAAATGAGTTTTAGTCACACAGAATACAAACGAGGACAGTATAACATGTGTATTCCTTATACACCCAGTCTGGAGACACTGGATTATGTACATGGTATTAGGTTTTGTTTATTCCACCATGTCTCAACTCAGTGGTAATGCTTTTGTATGTCAAATGAGTCATAGAAAATATGGTGCAAGACATCAACCACGGTTGTTGACACAAATAATGCTGCACCTTTTCCTATTGTCAGCACACACAACACAGCACAAGAAATGATTGCACTATAATGTCCGTGGTTGTATCGCATACACTCGCAAGCATGTCTTTTTAGCGAATTTAGCCAGAGAACTGATTCGCTAATTCAAGATGTCGCTAATGACTTTATTATAAATTCAAAATGGCCATGGCTTGGGGATTTGTATACAGTAATCTGGAACATAAACATATGGGGCGCTCCCTAATTACACTTGACAGTTTTTCTTTGTTTTTATGGAGGTGATAACTGCGCATTTGTTTTGGCATGCGACAAACAAGTATTGTGAAAACAGGAAATCAACAAAGACAAGAGATTTTGCTAAATCAACATTTCGCTATTACGTCATTTTACCACAATTCGCTAAAATTGCAAGTCGCTTTTTCAACATGTTTTACAGTAGTTTATTGGTTAAGTTGTGTCATATTTTACATTGAACAGGAAGCATGGGAACACAAGCAAAACATGTCAAACCTTCTTTTCTTTCCTTTTTTTTTTAGGCTGAAGTAATTTATAAGCTAAGTATAGTGGAGAGCTTTGCATTTGGTGCATTGATATCTGCTGTGGATCCGGTCGCAACTTTGGCTATATTTTCAGCGCTGGATGTAGATCCTATTTTACACATGTTGGTCTTTGGTGAAAGTATTTTGAACGATGCTGTGGCTATTGTTATGACGAAGTAAGTCGTTAATTATTTGTAAATTATTGAACAGTGGTCTTCTAACAGTAATGTTTTAGCTCTGACTGGTCCATGTTCCCATGTTTTGGAGGGATTTTGTACAATGGCTACAACTTTGAATTCACAATCAGTTTGAATCTCGCCAGTTCATGTTAGTTGTGTCCTTGGGCAAATTATTTTATATTCCTATGCTTCTCAGCGCGATATGTGTGCTTAGTTCTGATGCGCTTTGAGAAACTCAGGATGTATTCTCCCCAGTGAGTTGAGGTTGGTTTACAGATTAACTCATCTGACTCAGTATTCAGGAATACAGTCAAACCTGTCTATAGCGGCCACCCAAGGGACTTTGAAATTTTGGCCTTTATAGACAGGTGGCCTTTCTATACAGGTTTACTAATTTATTCATGAATATTAATTAGGCACTGAATGTATTAAAACGGATCTCGCAACCCCATTTGACACACTATTACACTACTGTACACAGTATCTAAACACTTTATTACAAATAAAAATGTTGATTTTAAATTGTATTATGTAAACTAAAATCATTTCACAAAAATCGATCATTGCACAATAATGAGTAGTATGAAAATCATGTTCAGCAGTAGTTTGAGTCTCATTTCCTACTAAAGAAATCATCAGCTTGCTTTGCTTAGCTATTCTAAATTTCTATGTTTCTTTTAATATCTATTGTGGCTGGTAACTGTTCTAATAAATCGGAATGTCTCTGGGCTATAGCAAATTCTTTCAAGGAGAAGAGAGA